ACTCCTACTCCTACGACGACGACAACCGTCCATTCATTTATTTATTTATGCATCCATCCGTACATACATACATACATACATACATACATGCATGCATGCATGCATGCATGCATGCATGCATGCATGCATGCATGCATGCATGCATGCATGCATACTTACATATGTACGTGCGTACGCACATAGGTGCATATGTATAAAAATAAGCACTTCTTACACGCTGCAACCGTTTGTGCCGCGAGCCTTCGGAAAGCATTCGACATACTACACTTTTACTCAGACTCGAAATGATGATTTTGGAGGCCTCATAGCTCAGCACACAAGCACTTGCAAAGTCTGCCGCAACGAGACTCTTTCGGCTTTGGGTTTTCGAATCGTTCATACAAGTGTCAAGATTGTCAGTTGTTTGCAATGTCCACGAACAGACACTGACACTCTCGAGTGTGCCTCCAAGCATTTTGACGCGTCCTGTTCGGGTTGGAACGGCTTCTCAGGATCAGTTGGCATATCTCTGCGCACCCCGGGTTTTTGTTCTTTACATGGTCCTTGAGGCTCTTCATGTGGAGGCAGCAGATCTTCGCGCGAAATCTGAGAAATCAAGCCAAAGCCCCCTGCAGGTTCGTGGACATTTACACTCTGCCAGTCTGCAGAAGTTCTTCACAAACAAGACACACAAGAAGTACTGCGAAAATTGCGGTTGCTTGATGGATTACGCTGGGATTTCTAGAGCTTTTCTACAGGGATGGGTTTGGTGGGCTTTGGGTTCGCAGAACGGTTTGGACTGGAACCCAGTACTGTGTATCCTTGGGATCTCACTGTATTCTAAAGCTCGGAACCCCAGGGCACCAAACAACAGTCTCCCAAGCTTTTACCAATCCGAGAGTTGCTCATGGGGCGCAGACTCCTAGGTAAGCCGAGTGCCCTTCTTCTGGAGCGCTGCTCTTACTGCGGAGAGGCACAGCCATGCATGGCCTGCAAGGTCATGAACTAGCATATCTCGGGTGCGGTTGAATTGGGGGAATTCGGAGCTTTTAAAGGGCCACAGGCCACAGGGTTTTTCGAGAGACAGCCTTCACTGCAAGCACCGACGGCCACTGGCGTCCTCGTCGTTTGGCCTTGAGGTTCTTCGGCACTTTTCCCGAAAGCATCGCGAAGGGTTCTTCCGTGCGGAGCCTCGCAGAGAAAATACATAGAGAATACGTGGAGTCAAGTACACTTGACTTTACCACACTTGACTCTACGACACTTAGCTTTACCACA